GAGACAAGAGACAGAAGGGAAATAGGATGATAGTCGAGGGGGAGGGAGGAGGGAGGACTAGTTTTTGGAATGGGAACTATTAAAGACAGTTTCCACTGGTCTGGGAATGTGCCAGTGGAGATAGATGTGTTAAAAATGTGTTGTAGAGCAGGAACAATAAAGGGAGCTGTTGATTTAAGGAGTAGGGAAGAGATTTCATCAGGACCACTAGATGTACAAGATGGGAGTTCTGAGATGAGTTGGAGAATATCTTCTTGGGAGCAGAGTAGTTCGGGGGGGCAGGAATCAGGAGAGAGGTGAGTTGAATGAGTTGGAATTGGTGAGGACTGAGAGCAAGTAAAGAAGCTGCTAAAAGTGTTGTTGATGAGGTTAGCTTTGTCAATGTTAGAGGTAACCTGAGAGGATGAGGAAACAAGTGGTGGGATTGGATCAGTAGATTTACGAAGAGAACGGACAAAAGACCAGAATTGACGGGGTGAAGAAGAAATTGAGTGGAAAAAGTTAGTTTTAGAACGTCTAACCTCGGCAGAAATTTTATTTCTTAGTCTACGGTATTCTGGCAATAGGTGAGATGAGTTGTGTTTGGAGATTTTGTGATAAAGACGACGACGGTGAGCAATCTTTTTGAGCAGAGGTCGGGGAAGCCAGGGAGGTGGAGGGTGTAATGATTGAAACTTATGGGGAGTGAAACTTTGGACTGTTTCCATGAAGAGATTGAGGAAGATTGACCAGGAGAAATTAAGATCATCAGAGAGAAAATCATTCCAATTAATTGAGTCAAGTACTAAGTTAATTGAGTCGAAGTCAGCTTTGTGATAGAGCCAAACTTTCTTCTTGGAGATTAATGAAGTATACAACAAATGTGCAGTGAGCATTTCTGTGTGAGCCAGAGCTTGCATTTAAAAGGAAAATTAGAAAAGTCACTTTTTGCCCATACATCTCTGTACTTCTATCCCACAACATGGCGGCTCGTTAATGATATTCATTGCTAAACGCGGCATTGGTGGGAAAGGTCTATAAAATTAAAATTAGGAGCCTACTCCGACTCCTGGAAAAATACACTACAGAAAATAAAACTATCCACTACTACAAAAATTCAAATTCAAATTTTAAAATTCACACTTAGATTATTAATAAGTAAAATACTACATTGTCTAATTTCCTACAATAGAAAAGTTTTAAATGATGTTCTACTACAAACCAAGATTTATAGGGAGCTAGCTGGTACCAGCTCTTGCAGGTAAAGAAACCTTCTAAGTGTTGATGAAAACTCTGGAATTTGCTTCACCTTTAATCCATCCACCTCATATTCCTCATCTGCTATTTTTTTTGCAATTATTGTCATCATTGACACAACATCACATTCGGTTTTGCAGTATTGCTCAAAGACTTTACATAAGGACTGAATAAAAACAGTGCCTTCTTTTTCTGATCGATAAGCAGCGAATCTCTCAATGGTTGCAAAAGATAGCAAAAAATCAGATCCAATTGGTATTCTGATTTTTTTATTGTTGCCGCTATCCCTTGCCAATCCAGTATTATCAATTTCTCCTCTGCACGACTGAATAAAGAAGAGTTTTGGCTGTCCACATAAACCATTGATTCTTTCAATTTTTGCTTTAATGGTTGAGATTCTATATTGCTCCTCATTACCTGCAGTAAAATAAGCATTACGAGCTTTATCTGTATCACCATGAGCAAGAATAAACATAACAAAACAGGACGACCATGAGTGATTAGCTTTTTCCAAATTCTCAAGTAACTTATTAATTTCTACTTCGTTGACATTTTTATATTCTTTATATGAAAATTTAAGAGTATCTTGAAATAGTTTCTTCAATGCTATGAGATCTTCCTCATTTCCTGGGCGGTTTTTATCTATGCTGATGACTAAACAGTAGCCCGGTGATTTACTATTGTTCATTTCGTACACTTGATCATTTTTGACACCAATTTTTTTGCCCCTGACAACGTAGCTTTTCTCATCAATAGATGGAAGACCTAAAAATGAAATTTACGAGCAAGTAAGGGGTATACATTTATAATTACAGTTTTAATGTGATGTCTAAAGCAACAGTGCATATATTAATCAATATTACAATCATTTGTTTGGCCAGACTTTTGTTCTATTGTTCTCCCAGTTCCAAAAACAAAATGCACAATAATACATGAACACCATCCTTACAAAACAAAAAACAAAAGTTTACCCCCAAAAATGAAAGTTTAACTTAGCTGACAAAATAGAAAATTGATATACAATCCAATGCTACATAATCAAAGCATACTTGTATCCTTATCATTAGCATTATCAGACCATTCAGGAAGAGATTTATCTAATAATAAAGTAAAATAATGTATTACAATTCTAGCATGCCTATTTGCAATTGACCAATCAGATTGCCACATTGAGGGTAAGTAAAATCACTTCTACCATGCCAACTTTCAATTGACCAATGAAATTGCAGTATCATAGGTTAATTATTTTTTTCATATTAACCTAGCTCATTAAATTAAATGGCACTCTGTGCATATTCTTTCCATTTGTGAAGCTTGATTGTTTCTTTACAGCTGGTAGTTCCTTTGAAATGTCATGGAAGAAGTTGCTAAATTGTTTTCAAATGTTGTAGAAGTTGGTTACACACCTCAGTATCGGTTTCTGTGGCATTTATTAACTTTGCGAATGTGTCGCTCAGTTAAGCAAAAGAATTTTAATAGCTTTTCTACACGTACATAATAATTGTCTAATAATAATTTTTTAAGTTAATCACAATTACCAATTGTCTCAAGGCCATCTGCTTCATCTTCTAATTATAAAAAGGAAAAATTAAAAATATTATAATTAAAATGAACTCACTTTTATAATATTTCTCTTTGTACTCATCAAAAAATAAAGTATCTCCCTCAATTTGTGATACATCACCAACACAAATGAATCCACTATCTTTTAGCCATATCACAAAATCACATCGATCCAATTCCTTAATTTCAAGCTTTTTACGGCTAAATAAAGTGCATTTTCTACGATCAAACTCTTCATTTGTCATACCATTGTAGAATTTATAAATGGTTACACATAGATCAGTATCAGGATCCAGAACATAGGGTGGTGATTTTATTGAGGCAAATGATTGGAGACTCTCTGCACCTTTCCAGTCCAAGCGAGATCCCTTTAGCACTTCAATAGTGAGTGTAATGGCAGATTGATAGGATTTTAACTGAATACCCAGAATTTCAAAAAGCTCGCGAAAATTTTTTCCATCAGTGAAATCTGCTTTATTTCCTTCCATCACTACAGCAACAGCTAAACGGTATCGAGTGAGTAGGTCAGCACTTAGTTGTTGTTCCACATCCTTTAAAGCTGCCTGCATAGGAGCAAGATTTGAGGAGTCATCATTCCAATTAGGACCACCTTTTATAAACAATGAAAGAAAAAATAATAAATATAGGTGTGATTTACAAAACTCCGGTAGTTTTGTGTTAAAATACAGATTCACATAAATCCCATAGAGACTCTGGCCTCTGTGTATACTTAATGGGGCAGAGTGTAATAATTGTGGGTTGATATTCAGGGTGTAAAGGTCTTTTCATACTGGTTGCATAGCATAGGGGCAAAAGCTTCAAGTGTTGTTAATTTTTTGATGATTTGTCAAAATAGTTCAGTGAAAATCAATTTATTACAGTACAAGATTGCAGACATATAATTTGCAAGAGCTAAATCCACAAAAATACATTTATTAGGCAAATTCATTAAATTTATAGCCCCAAAAATTTTGCACTGTATGGTCATGTCCATGAATAAATGGACATCAATGGGCACTTTCTAATAGGTGGATTGAAAGTGCCCGGGATTAGTGCTAGAGGTGGATTGATGTGATGTCATGCAGTGGTAGAATCGGGGGGCAGGGGCCTGCCCCTCATTTTGGATGCAGGACAAAAAGACAACTATACTGTGCATGATAATTTAAAGAGTACCGTAAATCCTCAAATAAAAGCCCAGGTGTCTATTTCTTAAAATGGCATTTGGACCTCGAAAAAAGTAAAAAAATAAAATAAAACTTAAGGTAACAGGGAGATTTGAACTCAGAACCTTACGTAAATGACTTTAGGAACTTAACCAAATATCTACAAGGGATCTGTATATACTAGTAGGCTACATTTGTGTATTTATAGTTCCATTTTATTGCTAACCTGGCGTTTATTTGCACCTGGCTTTTATTTGAAGATTTACGGTAAATTAGTGTAAGCATTAGTTTTTTGGACTACAGAGTAACTCGGGGCTATTCCAACCAGTTCCTGCACTATGATCTAATTAAATATTCATGAAGTCATAACTCACTCTTTTTTGCTTTATTTCATTTATTTTATTCATCAATGAGTTCTATTTTGTCCATTCTATTCGTACTTTTTTGAAATCAGCAAAATTCAGCTTCAATTAACTTTGGATGAAAACAGTACTTTCACTGACCTAGTTGTTGGGGCTATTTCAATCCTACTAGGGCTATTCTGACCCTCCAGATACTAACTAGTAGTCTATATATATGGGAAAATTATGCAGTGACCGGAGATATACAAGCACTATCACTAGGTGATAATACGTGAAAAAGCTAATGAACACAAATTTTTAGCCAGAGTTGCTTAGCTGCATTTTGTAAAGATCAAGCTGTTCTTTGGTGTTGGTAGTTAGAGAATTCTACGCTGAATAGATACATCCTTGTTTCAGTCCTGTATCTGCTGCAGTTAAGACTGGAGAAAGAGGACCCTCTAACTGGGGCTATTCCGACCGCTGCACACGGATTTCCCATTGGTTTATACAGGGGGACGGAATAGCCCCGACTCAGTTACTCTAATAATGGAAGTTATAGTAAGGTTTCAAAAATGAGCTCCACACTCCTCTTTTAGACTGGTGAAAAAATGAGCACCTCCACTTATACATTGGTCATATTTCAGAGTAAAAATAAAAACACACTTAAATGTACCATTTTGAAGTGCTTCTGCTGGGAAAACGCCAGATGGTTGGGGGCCTTGGGGCTCTTTCTCCTTGCCAGCCTCTTCTTCGTCACCGTTATTCCACTCAATGCTCATTTCTTGTCGGTATTAAGATCACTGCAGGTTTAAACTTTCGTGTCTCTTTTAGCAGCTATTATAATACTCCTTGTAGCCCTGTACTTGATCTATGCCGGCAGTGACTGAGTGGCTACACAAGTGAGACCATTTTATATCCGGATCCGAGTTAGTATCTCCCATAGATATTATAGATATTATAGTTACGTAGTCTATAATATCTATGATAACATAGATCTAGATATGATGATAATATCTATGGTATCTCCGTACATGAGTCATCACGAGTCAAAATGAAAATGGCGGGTTCGAACGCCGGGGACCTTTCTAGCAGCAAAACAAGGCAAATCCGCAAAGACAATGTCTAAAAACTTTTCTGGAGACACTGGAAGATACAAAGGACCTTAATATGTCTTTTTAAGATGAAATAGAAGCCCGTTATGTGTTTCCTGGTCTGACCACATCCGTACCATTGTAGCCGCTGGCAAAGCTTATATACAAGATGCTGGGTCTACTCCGTCGCTTATTTAAGTCCACATCAATATCCATTCGTCGAAAGCTGTACATTACCTTAGTGAGACCTCAGTTAACATACTGCAGCCAAATCTGGAGGCCTCAAGCTGCTGGAAGCTGTCCAAAGACGAGCTACTAAGTGGATACTGAATGATTACACCTCTGACTACAAATTTAGACTGCAATCTCTCCCGCACTTACTCCCACTCATGATGACACTTGAACTTTACGATATTACCTTCTTTCTTAAATCTCTGTCTTGTCCCTCTGAAGCGTTTGACATACTTAATTTTGTTTCATTCAGCTCCACTTGTACTCGTTCATCCAGCTCCAGCTTAAAGCACACCTTCTCTAGAACTACCCCCTCTCGTCATTTTTACTTCTCTCGTCTCCCTCATCTCTGGAACTCGCTCCCATCTCTTAACCTACTGTCAATCTCTCACTCCCAAGCTATGACTTTGCTCCGTAATCACTTTTGGCAATTATTCATGTCCCATTTCAATCCCGACAATCTATGTTCTTTTCATGCTTTGTGTCCATGCAGCCAGTGTATTATTCATTCATCACATCATTGATTATTAGTTTGTTTTGTCTTTGTTTCAGGGGCCCAGTGTATTTACTGGATTTCCTTCACATCACATAATTCATTACCCTCTGATTTACACTGTTTTTTTTATTCCGTGCTGTAAAGTTTATTAATAATAATAATAATTATTATTATTATGGTAA